ATATGGTCTGGAGCCCCTTCTGGTTGCCTCGGGGTTCTTGATAGGCTCCAGAGGCGGATATGCAACATAATTGGGCTTGATCTGACATCTTGTCTACAGTCACTTTCTCACAGACGCGCCGTCGCCTCTCTCTGTCTGTTTTACAAATACTTTCATGGCAATTGCTCCGAGGAGCTGCATTCGCTGGTTCCCAGACTTCATGAATTCAAGCGCCTGACGAGGCTAGCATCCCGCTCTCACCACCTCACCTCTCGCCTGTGGAACACCCTTCCCTATTCCTGTTTCCCTGTGAGCTATAATCTCCAGCTATTCAAGTGTAATGTCAATCGACAACTCCAGTTGCCTTGATCTATCCACCACCCTTCTCCTCATCCTTTCTTCTATTACTCCTATCTGATCTTGCTCTAAATTTTCTGTAACCCCTTGCGTCCTAGTGGCTTCTCGCCTTGCTTGGGGTGAAACGCTTAAAAAAAAAAAAAGAAAAAAAAACAAACTCTGACCATGAACCTTTTAGACATTTTATATATATATATATATATATATATATATATATATATAACGACGAGACAGGAAATATCTACACAACTCTTAAAAGATATATATATATATATATATATATATATATATATATATATCTTTTAAGAGTTGTGTATATATATATATATATATATATATATATATATATATATATATATATATATATATCTTTTAAGAGTTGTGTAGATATTTCCTGTCTCGTCGCTTTTTTTGTGAGTATATATCTAAATACGTCTGCATGTTTATGTATTATAATCTGATTGTGTATGTATTGTCTTTTGCAAGATGTCATCCTCCCTTGCCTCTCTTTTTCCGGTTCAAATGTATCTATGTTGTCATGAAGTTCAGAGCAACAGTTGATCTTAACGTTTATTCCAACTTAATTTCAATAAAAACAAATTAAATAGAATAACATATGTATTTTTTTTCTTTTTTCCTCAGTAATTTTATAATTTTAAACTTAATATAGATTAAATTTAAATTTTAAAATGGGTATTTTTTAATTTGTAATTTCAAATTTTATCGTATATTAGTTAGTATATGTCATATATATTTATTAGTTAGAATAAATTCCATTTTAGTCTAACCCCAACATATAAATAATTATTATAAGCTTAGTTCGTTGTCAAGTTTTTTGAATTCCCGTATACTTGTATTTTGATTGGTCATTCCAGCTTACGTAGCAGCGTTTCCCCTTAGCGAGGAGTGATTGATTGATTTGAACCTTTTAAAAACCTTTATTCTACATTCAACATGATAGACACTTGATAAGACACCAGAAGTGTTGAAACGAAATGGCTATTTTTAGTGATTTTATAACATATTTATGTGATTTTATAACATATTTATATATATATAATTTTATATATAAATAATTATATATATATATATATATATATATATATATATATATATATATATATATATATATCGAATCCAAAATAAATGTGTTGGTTGTCCGAATAGAATATATATTTCTTTCTACCGGAAGCTATTAACAGATATGCTGGTATAGCTTTAAGATGACGAGCAAGTCTGCCTTCGTTCGCACTTTATTAACAAGTCTTTATTAATGATCACAAGAGGGATATCCACTTAGTCCTGTATGCCAAATGGACTGGAAAGTGCTTTTAGAACATCAGCTGGGGGATTCTCTCATGATGTGACATGCTGAGTTCAGACAGTTCATTAGGGATCTTAATGGAAGTCAATACATAAAGGGTAGTTTATTGAAAGGTTCAATCAGCAACATGTATTTTTTAATAATTTAATATCAAAATGATTTTACCTCTTCTTTAAGACCTGAAACGATTTCTTCTCCTCAAAAAAGAACTTGTTCATTATTTTTTATTTAGAAATTTCAGTTTGATTTTATCTACTCCGATTCTCACAAAGAACATGATTTTTAACCCTTTAAGCACTGCGTTCCTGAACAATTTTAACCTTTCTGCCTGAGCTCCTGAGGCAAAATTCACAAATAATTGGTATGTAATGTTTCACGGTAGATATAAAAATAGTTACAAATCTTTACCCACCATTCAACCGGTGTCTGGGGATTTAGTTTTCTTGGATTTAGTTTTTTTCTCTACCACTGTTCAACTGGTGTCTGGAAATTATGCCATTTTTTCTACCACTGTTCAACCGGTGCCTAGGCATTGTCATTTTTCTCTACCACCGTTCAATCGGTGGCTGGGCATTACGCCATTTTTCCCTACCATCGTTCAACCGGTGGCTAGGCATTATTTCATTTTTCTCTACCACAGTTCAACCGGTCGCTGGGAATTATGTCATTTTTCTCTACCACTGTTCAACCGGTGACTGGGCATTATGTCATTTTTCTCTACCACCGTTCAACCGGTGGATGGGCATTACGCCATTTTTCCATACCACCGTTCAACCGGTGGCTAGGCATTATGTCATTTTTTTCTACCACTGTTCAATCGGTGACTGGGCATTACGCCCTTTTTCCCTACCATCGTTCAACCGGTGGCTAGACATTATGTCATTTTTCCCTACCATCGTTCAACCGGTGGCTTGGCATTACGCCATTTTTCCCTACCATTGTTCAACCGGCGACTAGGCATTATGTAATTTTTTCTACCACTGTTCAACCGGGTGCTGGGCATTATGTAATTTTTCTCTACCACTGTTCAACCGCTGGCTGAGAATTATGTCATTTTTTTCTACCACTGTTCAATCGGTGACTGGGCATTACGCCCTTTTTCCCTACCATCGTTCAACCGGTGGCTAGACATTATGTCATTTTTCCTACCATCGTTCAACCGGTGGCTTGGCAACGCCATTTTTCCCTACCATTGTTCAACCGGCGACTAGGCATTATGTAATTTTTCTACCACTGTTCAACCGGGTGCTGGGCATTATGTAATTTTTCTACCACTGTTCAACCGCTGGTGAGAATTATGTCATTTTTTCTACCACTGTTCAATTGACTGGGCATTACCCCTTTTTCCCTACCATCGTTCAACCGGTGGCTAGACATTATGTTATTTTTCCCTACCATAGTTCAACCGGTGGCTTGGCATTACGCCATTTTTTTCCTACCATTGTTCAACCGGCGACTGGGCATTATGTAATTTTTTTCTACCACTGTTCAACCGGGTGCTGGGCATTATGTAATTTTTTCTACCACTGTTCAACCGCTGGCTGACATTTTTTTCTACCACTGTTCAATCGGTGACTGGGCATTACGCCCTTTTTCCCTACCATCGTTCAACCGGTGGCTAGACATTATGTCATTTTTCCCTACCATCGTTCAACCGGTGGTTAGGCATTATGTCATTTTTCTCTACCATCGTTCATCCGGTGGCTAGGCATTGTGTCATTTTTCTCTATCACTGTACAAACGCTGGCTCAGAATTACGTCATTTTTTCTACCATCGTTCAACCGGTGGCTGGGCATTAAGTCATTTTTCTCTACAACCGTTCAACCGGTGACTGGACATTACGCCATTTTTCCCTACCATCGTTCAACCGGTGGCTAGGCACTATGTCATTTTTCTCTACCACTGTTCAACCGGTCGCTGGGAATTATGTCATTTTTCTACCACTGTTCAATTTCGGCAATAATTCATTTTTAAGTTCATCTTTCAGTTTGCTATGTAGATTCATTATCTCAATATTGTCACCAAAATCCAAAGAAGTGTCTGTTATATTATCGGCCCTGACCTGGCATCTCGACTTCAGCTAGTTACTTTCCCACCACCAAGATGTGACACTTCCCTCTATCTTTTCTCCAAATATTTTCATGGCAATTGTTCTAATGACCTTTCATCCTTGGTACCTCGACTGCATGAATTTAACCTTTTGACCCCTGCATTCCTGAACAATTTGAACCTTTCTGTCTGAGCTCCTGAGTCAAAATTCGCAAATAATTTGTACGTAATGTTTCACGGTAGATATAAAAATAGTTACAATTGTTTAACCACCGTTCAACCGGTGGCTGGGGATTTTTTTTTTTTTTTGCGGGGATTTTTTTTTTTCTACCACTGTTCAACCGATGGCTGGGCATTACGCCATTTTTCCCTACCATCGTTCAACCGGTGGCTAGGCATTATGCCATTTTTCTCTACCATCGTTCAACCGGTGGCTGGGCATTATGTCATTTTTGTCTACCACTGTTCAACTGGTGTCTGGGAATTATGACATTTTTTTCTACCACCTTTCAACCGGTGGCTAGACATTGCCATTTTTCTCTACCATCGTTCAATCGGTGACTGGGCATTACGCCCTTTTTCCCTACCATCGTTCAACCGGTGGCTAGGCATTATGTCATTTTTCCCTACCATCGTTCAACCGGTGGTTAGGCATTATGTCATTTTTCCCTACCATCGTTCAACTGGTGGCTGGGCATTACGCCATTTTTCCCTACCATCGTTCAACCGGTGGCTAGGCATTATGTCATTTTTCTCTACCACTGTTCAACCGGTGGCTGGGCATTACATCATTTTGTTCTACCACCGGTAAAGCGGTGGTCAGCTGCTAAAAGGGTTTTAAAAAACGCCAAACAAGAAATTCGTGTTAAAGCATCGGAAGTGGCTTACTATTACAACTCTAAATTTGCATTATGTGTTTTTTAATATTATTTTTTACTGCACTTTTTATCCTTAACAATCATTGCATCTTCTGCCTGATTTCTTTGTAGAGGCCTCCATGCTGGTTTTGTCTCTCTGGTGATCTTTGGTTAGGATAGAATTAGAATCAACCATATTTGTTTCTTCATTCATCTTTCTGTTATATAGATATATTTAATGCCATTTCTGTTGCTGCTGGGGCGGCTGCCCGTTCTAAATAGGTTATCCGATAATTGTCGATTGCATTTGATAAGTTTCATTGAATTGGGGTTACAGTTTTGGCAGTAATCCGTCCCATCAAACGACGCGTCCGACGGTTCGTTTCTGGCCTTCGACATTCACCTTTCGCTAGCATCTTTGCATCACAGCTAAATGTGTTTTCTTCTTGGTCTTTGTCCCAAACTCCGAATGCATGTGAAGTCTTTTGGAAATAAAAATTCTTTCCTTCCATCCGCCTGCAGCCTCATGACGCCAGCTTCGAGTCGTTCGAAGCTTGTAACCATGGTAATGTCAATATGCCTGTGATCATTTGAATGTGATGGCTGAAATAGCTGCAGTTTATATCCACACTGTCACACGCACAAAAGTCCTTTCACGTACACACACACACACACACACACACACACACACACACACATATATATATATATATATATATATATATATATATATATATATATATATGATAGAAATTAGGAGGATTTGAGATAATTAAGTAATTCATCGAGTCTAGAAGAAACCTCAACAGAATGCAGAAAGCACTGGACGCTCGTTTCGTCCTATATTTGGTAATCATCAGCAGTGCGCATCCACTACCGAGAATTGAAACCCTGACAGCTACATTGACAGGCAAACGTCATACCAAGTGTACTAACGGGTCTCGGTGACGAAGAGGTAGCGATATTGCGCCGCTCGTTCACATATTCCGTGGTGAAACTCATCCAAGGATTGTGCCCCCTAGAGCCACGATTACCATCACCAAACCGCTCCATCCAGAATATTAGAAGCTAGTTCAAGGAATAGAAATCTCGTTCTCACCCTTTCACTGTCGAAACTGTTAAATGTAGCCGTCTTTTCTACTCCAATAGCTTGATGTCTCGCACTTCTCACCTGTGGAACTCCCTCCCTTTTTCCTGTTTCCCTGATATCTATATTCTCCAACTATTCAAATGTAATGCCAATCGACGTCTCCAGATGCCTTGATCTATCCCCTATCCTTCTATTCATCCTTTCCTCTTTGCTCTCACTCTTGCTTGGGGTGAAACGCTTAAAAAAAGAACACACATACACATATATATATATATATATATATATATATATATATATATATTTTTTTTTTCGTTTTTTTCTTTTTATTACAAAATTCGCTTGAAGATGAAACAATTAATGCTTTTAATTTAATTATATAATTAAATTTGAAGTTTTTTAGTTTCATTTTGAAACATGTTTATTACTGTGTAGCGAAGAAATCATATTTTAATTCAGCTAATTTATAATATATATATATATATATATATATATATATATATATATATATATATATAAGCAAGTTTGGTTAAATCATTTAAACGTATAATGTCTATTTATTTTACTTTTAAGCCTTTCAGGTCCACGAATTAATTTCTTGGTGGATGTAGAAAATTGATTAAGAAAAATTACAAAATTTTCTTTGAAATAATTTTTATTTTCCAAAATACATTCAGTCTCATCAGGGAAATACGGAGCTACTGGGTAGACACACGCACGCACACACACACACATATATATATATATACAAATCTACCATTCGCTCTTGCATGCAGTATTGCTGCCATATATGTTCTGGTGCCCCTTCTGTTTGTCTCAAGGTTCTTAATAAAATGCAGAGATGGATATGCAATGTATTTGGCCCTGATCTGGCATCTCGTCTGCAGTCGCTCTCTCACAGACGTGCTGTCACCTCCCTCTGTCTTTTTTTACAAATACTTTCATGGTAACTGCTCCGATGAGCTGCTTTCGCTGGTTCCCAGACTTCATGAATTTAAGCGTTCAACTAGGCTGTCATCTCGCTCACACGCTTTGACTGTCGATACTGTTAAATGTAGCCGTCTTTTCTACTCCAATAGCTTGATGTCTCGCACTTCTCACCTGTGGAACTCCCTCCCTTTTTCCTGTTTCCCTGATATCTATATTCTCCAACTATTCAAATGTAATGTCAATCGACGTCTCCAGATGCCTTGATCTATCCCCTATCCTTCTATTCGTCCTTTCCTCTATCACTCCTATTTGCTTTCGCTCCACCTCTCTGTAACCCGTTGCGTGCTAGTGGCTTCCCACCTTGCTTGTGGTGAAACGCTTAAAAAAGAACGTATATATATATATATATATATATATATATATATATATATATATATATATATATATATATATATATATATCGAATATCATCATGGTCGATTTGTTATGAAGATAACTTCCTGATGTTTTCGTTCGGGCGGGGTAGGCGATTCCAGTGTAACTAAGGTCAACTGAACAATATCAACTGCAGGTTGGCTCTGTGGGTGTTGAATAAGCATTAACGTGCCTGAGCAGGTATCCGAAACAGGGATTAGGTAACCGTCCTAGTTGATCTGTGCGTTCGGAAAATGAATAGCTGGTCATATAGGTATGTGAGTATGTGTGTGTGTGTGTGTGTGTGTATCAAAACAGGAGTCGTTTTGTTTTTAATTTAACACAGAACTTTTGCCCTGTGCCAAGTTGAACAGAACTTGAGTGACCACGAAATTTTTATTTGTAGATTATTTATCTGAAAAGAGATATTCATAAGAAAGTAATTTTTTTATTTGGAGAAAAGTATTTCATTTTTTTTTTTCTTGGTTTTTTTCTTTTTGTAATTACTTTCAATTTCAAGATCTCTATCATCTGCTGTCTTATGTGTGGGGATTTGAAATACCAAATTAATGGCCGGAGTCTGAGTACTAAGACATAATTTTGTAAATAAAAGGACCAAATTGCTTCTTAAAAGTCTTTCAATGAAATTACAAATGCATTTTCAACGAAACTAAAAACAGAACTTTCTCCATAACGCAAAATACAAGTCTTGCTGGATTGCAAATAGTCTAACCCCTCAGGGAAGGTGGCTAGGTAAAATAAAAACTTAATAGATGTTTTTCCTTTTACGAAGAGCTAGATAATTTTTGCAGGGGAACATTAAGAATTTGTGTTTTTTTTTTTTTTTTTGTTTTATATATATATATATATATATATATATATATATATATATATATATATATATATATATATATATATATATATATATATATAAAGCTGAATAATCGTTTCTGTTTAAAATGAACTCCTTTTTTATCAGTCTGTATTTCTAAGCTGAGGAGTTGTCATTATTTACACTATTTACATTCGGAATATTGTCATCATCTTGCTTATCATCTATCTCAGTCTGTTCATATCTATCTATCTATCTATCTATCTATCTATCTATCTCTATCTCAGGCTGTTCGTATCTAACTCGGCCTTTTCAGATTTGTCTATCTATCGAATTCCGTTCATATCTCTCTATCTAATTAATTTTCTATCTATCTCTCTAAATCTGTTCGTATCTGTCTGTCCGTCTATCTATCTATCCTCTTAATTCTGTTCGTATCTTTCTATATATCTCAGCCTTTTCTTATCTGTTTCGGCCATTTTTACATATCTATCTATCTCTATATAAACATATATATCAATCTGTTAAATCTATCTAGCTATCTATCTCAGCCTGTTCATATCTATCTCAGCGTTTTTCAGATCTATCTATATCTATCTATCAGTCACTCTATTTAATTCTGCTCGTATCATTCTATCTATCTCAGCCTTTTCTTATCTGTTTCAGCCATTTTTACATATCTATCTATCTATCTATCTATCTATCTATCTATCTATCTATCTATCTATCTATCTCATCTATTCTATCTCAGTATCTATCTATCTATCTATCTATCTATCTATCTATCTATCTAGATAGATAGATAGATAGATAGATAGATAGATAGATAGATAGATATAAGCAGACAGAGATAGATATGTACAGGCTAGGATTAGATAGATTTTTGTTTGCTTTAGCAGAGTTACATTTTCTGATTTTTTTCCCTCCCTGCAAACATTTGAAGTCCAGCTCTTCCTCACTTAACGACTTACTGTTCAGTACACTATTGTATAGTGATAATAGCAATATTGTATAGTGATAATAGCAATATTGTATAGTGATAATAGCAATATTAACCGTTTCCCTATGAGGAAACATTTGGCATTCATTGACCGAGAAGTCAGTACTGCTTTCGTTTAAAATTTATAAAATCTTTATCTTAAACCAATTTTTCAGGAAAATAAGTTTCTCATTTTCAGTCAGTGTTATCGCTCTTTTCACTTTTGATGCGGTTTTCCTTTATAGACTTTTATTTGAAGTAGTGTTTTGGTTGATTGATTGATTGGTTAGTTGATTGGTTGGTTTGTTGGTCGATTGTTTGATTGTTTGGTTGATTGTTTGATTGGCTGGTTGATTTGTTGGTTGCTTGCTTGCTTGCTTTGTTGGTTGTTTTGTTTGTTGATTGGTTGATTGATTGGTTGATTGGCTGGTTGATTGGTTGATTGGTTTGTTTGTTGATTGGTTGAGTGATTGGTTGATTGGTTGGTTTGTTGGTTGGTTTGTTTGTTGAATGGTTGATTGATTGGTTGATTGGTTGGTTTTTTGGTTGGTTTGTTTGTTGAATGGTTGATTGATTGGTTGGTTGGTTTGTTGATTGATTGATTGATTGATTGATTTATTGATTGGTTGATTGATTAGTTGGTTTGTTGCTTGGTTTGTTTGTTGATTGGTTGATTGATTGGTTGATTGGTTTGTTGGTTGGTTTGTTTGTTAGTTGGTTGATTGGTTAGTTGATTGACTGGTTGGTTGAATGGTTGGTTGGTTGGTTGGTTGGTTGGTTGGTTGGTTGGTTGGTTGGTTGGTTATTTAGCGTGCCTATCACTGGATTATTTAATTCCAAAATTTAAATATCTATGCTTATTTTCTTGTGTTTCAGATATGATTTGTTTGTAATTTTCTAATCCTTTTTGTGGGCGGATGATGCCTTTTTTAACCCCCAAAAATAGATATATAAAATAATTACATTCAGACAAAGCTAACACATCACCGAAACACCAACAACAGAAAATATCGAAGAATCATCACAGCCGATGTTTTATTGACAGCGATTTGTTCAGGTAAACGAAGCATTGCTTTAAAAGTTCCCTGCTTTGGTAAAGAGAAAAGGTGTCAGCAGGAGAAAGTAAGGGCAGACAACTCTGCAAAACAATAAAAAAAAGAAGAAAAAAAAAGTTTATATTATCCATACTCAGAATATTTAAAACCTACAGATATTTGTTTTGATTTTTAGAAAATTTTAAAAGCGATAGAATGTTCAGAAATTAGGTGGGTTGATTTTGCTCAGCGGCATAACAACACCTCTATGGGTTATTGGTAACGCCTAAACAGTTTGAACACAATTTTATGGCTTCAACTACAGATAAAATGTATTGTTGGTAATTTTAGTATAAAATTGTACTGCTGGTCATAAAGGAGGACAGATATTACATAACAATATTTCTTCATTTCCAAATGAACACTTCACTTAGTCCACCGGAGTAGATTGTTCTAGTTCCACGTGTCATTCCTCTTCCGGTGTCTCAGTGTCAGTTATCTCCCTTTTAACTCAACTCTGTTTACCTCTTCTGTAGCCAGGTTTTCAACTCTTTGGGTGAAGTCACTGGATTCAGTCAACGTTTTTATCCACTGGACCACGTTTGTTGTTGGTGTAGATCAAGTGACAGCAAGGCACATGAACTTTCTTTTCTTTGGTTTTATTTGTCTGCGAGATCTCAAATTGCATTTCTATGATGATTTTCGTGTCTATTCCGATAATAATGGGTAAAGATTTGGCTTCAGATACCTTTTCTTTTTCAGCTCCATGGCAAGGTTCCCATATAATTTCGTCTTGTTCCCTAATCACTTGGCTTTACTCTGTGTTCCACGGAAACATGGTGCTTCAGGGAAGGGGTACATTTTCTTCAACCAAGGCCACGGATCCAACGCAGATGTCAGTGAAAGACAATCTCTCAAGAACTTGCAGAAAGAGGGTGTGTGTGTAAGGCGTACATAAGTGGGGGCAGTACACGCCCTCTTTAAGCAGCCAGAAATCGGAGAGCGTACGGCCATATCTCGTAAAAACATCTGTTCTCGTATAATCACCGAAGTTAAGCAATGTCGAGCCTGGTCTGTACTTAAATGGGTGACTTCTTGCGAATATCAGGTGCTATA